TTCCTGTTTGTTGGTCTGCACACGCGTTATTTAGTGTGAGAAAATACTGTGCCTTTTCACTCAGAGAGTTGTCATCTTGTGTGTGGGATGAGATGCACTGGCTGTTGGTGGTGGACGTTTGTGCGCATGGATCAAGAGGACATTCTGCTCAGAGTTGAAGGGTTCTCTCGTCTTGCTTGCATGAGGTAGCATCAACCTGCAGAAAGATTTTAAACACTTTATTCTTAATTTTGGAACTTGTCAAGGGGGAGAAGGAAGGAAGTTAAATTTATCAGTGCACCAAAAAACCAAGAGGCACAACATATTTCCTAAGGCCTCAGTAAATCAGTTCTGTATAGCCTGTCCCCAGCTGGCTTTGTAGCTGTAGCCACATGAACATGCCATCACTGTGTTACAGTTCTTTTGTATGTGCAGCTATACTTGTGCTTCCTTCTGGAGCTTTACCTTGTGTTCCTCTGGCTTCAGAGCAGCAGTAATACAAACAAAATGTATTCCCATTACTGGCCTTTCTTTCCTTGCTGACTTGAGAGAAACAATGGCACTAAAATAGTTTATTTTATGATTCCATGTTGTCTATCCCAATTATGCCAGTACTTCTCCTTGAGTCAAACCAAGGTGAAGCTTTCCAAATATCCATTTTCCCTGCAGATGGCAGGAGACCATTGCGTGCTCTGTCCTTGGATCAAAAGCACTAAGACCTGTCGGACAATTCAGCATTTTTTTTCCAGCCTAGCTACGGTGGCACCTTATATTGCTGATTTTCAGAATTCGTTTCCCAGATTCTTAGCTGGCAGTTCTTAGCACAGATACTATTTTGATTTAGATCTGCATTCTGATAAGTGAGTGGCAACATATCTTGAATACCAGCTACTCACAACCAGGTTCTTTACCCCGATGTATTGCAGCTGCAAGAGCATCCTTAAAGCTGCTGGCAGTGTGTATGCTAGAGGAGAGGGAAGTTGATTGTATGACAGCCACTTTATCTCTGGTGGCCACCTGACTTGGTGTCTTGTTTGCCACCTCACATAAAGGTAATAAAAGGAGAAGTTGCTGTGCTGATTGAGGGAGAGAACTAATGCCCTCTGTCCAGCGAGCTCTGAAATTCTGCAAGCCAGATCAAGAGACTCGGGCTTCAATTGACTTAAAAACCCTTGTAGTTGAAATGACGGGTCTTTCTCTTTTTATGCTTTCAAGAGAGAGGCTGTGTGCTTTGTGGTATGCTTTACAGAAGGGAAAGAGGTATGGACTGAGGCAGAAATGGATTGGGTAGATGAACCCATGGTGCTAGTTTTGTGGTGGTGTTTTTTCGGTGACATGAAGAGACTGATTCTGTGAGAGGCTAGAGGGAGATCTCATAGATTCCCAAACATTGATAAGTTTCTGTGAAATTCCTCAGCTATGTGAGGAGGAGCCACACACTTTCTGCAGCCAGGCCAAACTGGAGCAGAGTTTCAACCAGGTATTTGTAGCAGAGACATTAAGGGCATTAAGGTCCATATGTTTCAATCGCATCTTAGATATGTGCTGTGAAAGGACTAAAATGTCAAGGAAATTGCTAGGTCTGTGATTCTTAATGCACGGAGATACGAGTTTAGAAACCTGAAGCTTCATCTAGGAGGAGAATGAGAACTTGTGCCCAGGGGACCGCAACATTGTTTGCTCAAGCAGAGGAAAGAAGAAAAGAGCTGAGTGGGTGGGATTTGCCTCGAGGTGTAGGGGAGGAAAAGACAGTGAGAGTCTGGCTGCTTCTGCAATGCAGTCGAAGAGCTCTGCACACTTACCTGTCAGTTTTCATATGAGTTAGAAAGCTTAGTGGAAGTGTGCAAAGGCAGCCAGATCTGTATGATTAGTGGGATAGAGGGAAATAGGAGACATCTGAAGCGGAAGGTAGATGAGGAGGGAGTAAGGAGGAAGTGGCAGCTGAGGCGGTGGTATGGCAGGCAGCAGGAGCACATCACTTACATCCCCAGAAGAGGTGTCTCTCTTAACAGACAGCTGCTGTGGTGAGCCTGGGTCTGTTCATTTCATTCTCGCTCCTTTATGTAATCTGTGTTCTGAATGAGTAGATACTGCTGTGTAGGTTCTGTGGCTTTTCTTCTGGCATATGTCCTGGTTTTTGTGGGCAGCATCAATCCTTGCTGTTAGATTTTTTTTTTAATTTTTTTTTTAATCTCAATCCTGACAGTAAACTGTAATTTAGTGGATAGTGCTGCTGAAACTGAAACGCCTTATGAGGATACCAGTTTTCTGAACCCCTAAAACAACAGCAGCAAAAAAAAAATATCTAGTTTGCTTTGGGGTCCAAGAACTTTCAAAGATTTTTTTTTTTTAGGCTTGACTTTAAATAGCCCTCTAGATCTGGGCAAAATCAGTTTAAGAATAGTACGTGGCATTTTGTGGGGTGTGAAGGCTTGAAGTGGCACCTGGTCCTTAGCACTCCTCATGAATAGCATGCAGATTCTTGGCTGCTCCATGAAACCCATGAGCCCAATGAAACCTGTGGAGGCAGGATGTGTTTTGTTCCATCTTGAACCTGCTAGTTTCAGTGGGTCATACAACAAAATGAGATTGTGACAGGTGGAGGTTGAGGATATGGTAAAGCCTAGCACCTCATCAACAGCGATGCCTTTATAACACCTCTCCTATGGATTTCACATCCAGTGATACTCTTGCATCTTACACCTCTCACATGTTTCTACTTGCGAGATTTGTCCACATGAATGGAGATACCTAACTTTTCTCTCTCCTTTTCTTCCTTTTCCAGGGAAGCTGGCAAACAACAGGCTACAGGGAGCAGCATTGCAGGACAGCCCTTTTCAACAAAGAGGAAGAAATTGCTGTGCTCAGGTCCTCACCTTTCAGCAGTGACTCTGTGATGCAAATTCCAGGAGTTCCTGTGATAATCTTCTCTATGGCCTCTTCTTGCTGACATTTGCCCCAGAGTTGGGCACAAGGAGGAAGGATGCTGAAGAATGGGTACCCCCCCTTTGGCTTTTAGAACATGGGCACTTGTGTAAAGGTATGTGATTGCTCTTTGGTTGGAGGGATGGAGTATCTTCAGAGGCCAGCAAAGGGGATTTGTTGGGCTGGAAAGTCATGGCTATTGTTGGGGGGAAATGCTTCATTTAAGCTTTCTGCATGCTGATGTCCATTGCTGCTGCTGTTGAGATGACCGATGAATAACTCCCCTTTTGTGTTTGTTTAAAAAAAAAAAAAACAAAAGCAAAAGCAGCTTGAATGCACAATGTAGCTTCTCACTAACTGAATGGTGACACGGCGAGCTATATTGTATGCATTAGTGTATGCCAAATTGTTTGTCTAATTGTCACACACGTTCCTTGCTGCTGCTCTTGTTCCGTCTGTCAGCTATGTCATATCAACCCAACAGCATGTTGTTGTTCTGGGTGTGGTCTTTTTACTACATGTTTGTTTACCACTCCTCTCAGTAAGAACTTGATTCTAGATTGGTGTCTCTAAAAATTTCTGTAATCTTAATAGTGTACAAAACCAAGGTTTTAGCTTGTGCGTTGATCAGCTAGAGTTTCAGCAGAGAGGCTCCACTTTGCAGAAGTGGGTAGGAAAATACAGATGGACTGTTTTCCAGTTGCATTCATACTTTCCATAGTAGAGTTACAGGGCAAAAAATGGATTCAGCTCTGCCCTAGAAAGATTTTTGTTTGTTCTGAACAAATGGGTGTGGCCTTGTCCACAACCCTTTTATTCCATTGCTTTTTCTTCCAAGGTTGCTGGTTGAGGGTCAGCTTCTGACCATTTTGGTGGTGGCTCTGTGATGTGCTTTCATGGCAAACTAGAAGTTAACTTTGTGACTTGCAGAAGCAATTAGGTGTGAGAGTTTAGATGAGTGGCTTTCGGCTGCTGCTGTTGAAGTTGATGATTCTGCAAAAAGTAGCTCTTTCTTGCTGTACCCAGAGCCCACTCTCTCTGGTTTCTGAGGATAATATGTTGTCCTTTTAGATCCCTGAGTCTGAATGGGAATCTGTGATGGAGGGAGAACTGTTGTGTAGCATGCTGTGCTGTTTGCATATTTCACAGTCTTACAGAATAATGCTTTAGGGATGTTGTTGGAGAGGAAGATAGATGATAGATGATTGATAGGTATTTGTCTGAGGAATCATAGATTAAATTTAGGCCAGTGTGTGTGAGGAAGAGTCATTGGACTGGACTTGGCCTATTTTGTGTTCTAGATGCAGCTGTGATCCTCGGCTGTGTGTCTCACCGAAGGGACCTGATGTTTTACATCATTGGTAAGTGAAGGAAAGGCTGCCACTGTATTTGTTGACCTCTCCATAGGCTTTAGAAGGGTTTCTTGAAAGCCTCTGCTTTCATGCTAGTTCAGAGTCTACCTAACAAACATGAAGTTATTGTCACCCCACACTGTGCCCTCTACCTGGCAGACTTGCCTCTCCACCATTCTTCTTGTTCCTAAAGTCCTTCCATTGACTTCATTCCTAAGCCATCCCCTTACTTTTTCTTTCAAGAACTAGTGCAGGGTTGTTGCCTCTGTGATGCTTCTTAATCCAGTCTAATGTGATGTGCAGGGGTTGTGTGGTTATATGACTGTTTCCCTTAAAGGAATCTCTAATTCTAATTTGCAACTCAAAGGGAGTTCCATGTTTCTGTTGGGATGTCTGCTAGCCATACCTGAGACTGTACCACCTTTACCTATTTCCTCTGTTTGCAGTCATTTGCAGAGTTTTAAGGGACTTGTTATTCTCTAACCTTACTTGTAGCATAACACAAACCATAAATGTTCTCACAATAGCTTTTGCCTTAAACACCTAATTTGCAGTTGAGTAGAATGTCATTAATAAAAGGCATCTTGGGTTGATGCAGAGGGGATTTTGATGCCCGACTCAGCCATGCCGCTGCAACCACCCTCTGTTCTCTCCTTGCTGCAGGTGGGATCACGGTATCTGTGGTAGTTGTTGTCTTCACCATTAAGTTCCTCTTTGAGTTTGCCGCACGTATAGTCAGCTTCCTTCAGCATGGGGACCGGGAACGCCGAGGGGAGCGAACTATTTATGACTACGTGCGAGGCAACTACCTGGATCCCCGGTCCTGCAAAATCTCCTGGGATTGGAAGGACCCCTATGAGGTGGGCCATAGCATGGCCTTCCGAGTGCATGTAAGGGAATATTTCTGTTTCCATGCAGCTTTGGGGGCAGGCACAGAGGTCTGACTTAGGGATGGGCTCTTCAAATGTTTTTGGTTTTTTTTTTGTTGGGGCCAAGCTGGATGTAACTTAGGAGTAGGAAAGCTATCTGTCTGTCTTCTGCCCTCTGTAACTGTTGCAGAACTCTGTAAGTGCATATCTGAGGTTTACACTCCTTAAAATCTTATCTCCCTCTCTTTAGAATCCTCTGAAGAGCCAGAGGAGACCAGGCTTGTCCTATCTACTGCTTCCTTTACTGGGAAGTGAGTGGGCTGAGCCTTGCCTTCAGCAGACTTGGTGCTATCTTTTGGTTGTGCAGCTGAAGCTGGGAGCGTGGGAGTGGGCATTTTACCAGTCCAAGATCTGTAAAGCTTCATGGCCACTCCCATTTCCTCCATAATTGAGTGCTGTTCTGTCTGACCTGGAAAAGCCTGCCAAGGACTCTTGTTTCCCTCCAATCCCAAAAGGCCAAGTCTAGGGGAATGGGACAACTATAAATAAGATGGGTGAGGGGCCTGAACACTTGAGAGTTTGGAGCTACATGGAGAAAGTTTGAACAGGTTTTGCTGCACTCACATGCCCACCTTTCTGCCCCACCTTCCCCACCCAGAAGGGTATCAAAATAAGAAGAAAAGTTCAGCTAGGTTGCCATACTTGTCCTTCTCAGGAGGGTGAGGAAAACCCTTCTGCTTGAGGGTGAGTGAGGAGTTCTAACTCCAGGGCAGGCAGTGAAAAAGAGCTGAGGGGGAAGGGACTTGTTCTGTTCCTGCTATTTAAATTTATTCCCTTCACCTTACTGACTCTCACTCATGGCAGCTCCAGCAATGCGCCCTTCCACTTCATGCTTGTCTCCCATTTGCTTAGCCCTTTATTCATCAACAATAGCTGTTGCATGGACTGGTTTCTCTCACTGACAGTCAAGATACATACTACTTCAGGCCCCCATGCCCTCCCTTATTTAGAAGCAGGGAATAATAGTGTCCTTTTGCTGACTGCAGATGGCAGGCAAGATCTGGCCCACAAGCTGCCAGCTCTTGAAGAAGCATGCACATAGGGTTTCAAGGTGTAATTCTTTCCTTGTAAGGAAGTACTGGTTGAAGTATGTTACCTTCTGAAATTGTCTGGCAGATCACTTCTGTGATTGAGCTGCCTGTGATTTTATCTAACAGGTTGTTTTCATGTTGATGCTTCTTATCAGTACAGGCTGGGTCAGCTCCTTAGGTGAGCATCTTCTCCACACTTTTCTATAACAAACTGGGGAGAGCTTTTCTAGAGCTTAGCTGTACAAATGGACAAGATCTGCTTGTTTCTCTGAAGGATATGGCTTTGCTTTTTTCCATTTGGTAGTGGGTTCTCTTGGTTTCTGTTCTGATATTGCACTGACAGTGCACAGAAGAAACGCCTAGAGGCATGTTCTTCTGAGGGCACTCATTTGAACCCCAGCACAAAAGAGAATGAGGTTGTTCAATGTCCACTTGTGCCCTGTTCGCTTGGGAGAACTACAGCCTGTGTGACAGAGCTGACTGTTAATTTTTTTTTCCTTTGCTGAGCTGGGGTTCTTGCCCTTGTTTCCCCAAAGCGACTTGCTTTCTCTTCCTCTGTACACTGCATATTTTTGCTGACCTGGACTTCTCCATTTCCCATGCAGTTATTCTATAAAAATGGGCAACCCTTCCCTGCTCACCGGCCTGTGGGGCTGCGAGTTCACATCTGCCACGTGGAGCTAGCAATTGATATTCCTGTAACCCAGGAAGTTCTTCAGGAGCCTAATTCCAATGTGGTGAAAGTGGCCTTCACTGTGCGCAGGGCTGGGAGATATGAGATCACTGTAAAACTCGGTGGCTTGAATGTGGCCTACAGCCCCTACTACAAGGTGTTCCAGCCAGGTAAGGTCTAAGTGGCCCTGTAATGATTCAGAGTAGATTTGGAGGTATTGGAGGCAGTTAGGTAAATGTGTTTCCAGCTAAAATAGGTAGGTGACAGGGAAAGGGTTACCCTTCACTGTTTTCCTCTTGCCACATGTAGATCCCAGCAATAGACACACAACTAAAATATACTTGTGACTACCAGTATATGGCAAAATAGAACTGCCTTACAGAATAAGTCATTGGTGCTGCTTAAGCTTCCTAACCACTTGTGTCATGTTCTCCATTTTGTAGCAACTACTTCATGATCCATCTAGTAGTCAGAGAATGTCTTTTGTGAAAGTACTGAGTTCTTTGTATCCAAATTGGAAATGCTGTCATAATTTGACTCTTTTCCTCTTTTGAATGCCCTACTCTATTCCCTTTAAGCTCCTGGAGCAGTTGCTACCTTTGATTACACACTTCTTTAAAAACATTTCCTTTTTATCCATTTTAAATTTGTTTCCTTTGCTTTTGTTTTTTGACCCAGTTTGCATCTTTTCTGTTTCAAGTACATGTTCATCAAAACTACCTCCATTCCATTGCATTGTGAATAGATACAAAGCTTGCTAAGATACCCCTTCAGAAAGAGGGACCTCAGATTTAACTCAGATACCCTCCAGGCTAAAGTTTGTTTGGCAAGCTGAATTTGCAGGTTTCCTTGGATGTCAGCCAACTTGTACTTTGTATCTGCAGTGGGAGCCAGTTCTTGAAGGTTAGAATGGAGGAAAGAGCATTTTTTAGAGGGCTAGTAACTGGGTTTGCTTTGTCAGTATTAAGTTTCTGACCCCAAACCCTGTGCACCGCACCACGTATTTCAGAGCTCAGATTTTTTTGTTGTTGTTGTTAATGTAGGGGCATAGACTGTGTTTAGATTTAATCCATTTTCAAGGGTATTATGCCCCTAGTTGCTTTTCCTTTGCTCTGTGTAGCTTCACCTTGGAGTTTGTTTGACTCTAAACTGTTGTCTGCTTCAGGGATGGTGGTTCCCTCCAAAACCAAAATTGTCTGCCATTTCTCCACTCTGGTGCTGACCTGTGGGCAGCAGCACACTCTGCAGATAGTTCCCAGAGATGAGTATGACAATCCCACCAGCAATTCTGTGTCCCTGATAGATGAGCACAATTACAGCCTCTCCATCCATGAGGTGAGTGCAACCCCATCCCTTGCTGCTTGACTTCAGGTGAGCTAGAGAGCCTTCGTTAATTTGTTTTCTGTTTAGCTGGGTCCTCAAGAAGAAGAGAGCTCTGACGTTGTGTTTGAGAAGTCTGTGGTGTCCAATCGGCAGACTTGTGAAGTGTTCTTCCGACTCACCTTGCACTGTAGGGGGTGTTTCCATGCCTGCATCTCCTACCAGAACCAGCCCATAAGCAATGGTGATTTTGACATCATTGTTCTAAGTGGTGAGTCAAGAGCTACTGAGTGTTCATTCTCCAGGTGTCCTTTTACAAGATGTTTTGCACACTTGTGTAGCAGAGCTAAATGTGGCTTCCCTGCAGGCTAGCCATGCTTAATTGCTCAAGGAATGCCTATTAATTTAAAAATGCTAAGGTAAATGAAAGGGAGATCTCTGAAGGCTGGTACTCTCTGTTCCATCAGCAGATAAAAGCACGTGCGTTTTTTCAGCTATATCAGGAGATTTACCTCTGAAATAAGGCAATTTTTATTGCTTGCTAGTACTTGGCATCTGAGCCATACACTAAGTGAGCCACTAATGTATTGTTTGTTAAGCTATATGGATGAAGAACACTGCATGTAACCTATGTGCTCTCTTACGATTTTATAATTCCTGGTTTCTTCAGGAGTGAGCCAGTCTGCAATGTGGCTGTCACATAGCTATGCCTTTAGGCTGGTGCTCTGAGACAGAGGTTCTGTATGCCTTTTTCCTTTTTTTCTTGAACCAGTCACTGTCTGAAGCCAGGACAGACAAACTGCTATCTTGAAATCTTTTCATCCCACTGCTGGGTTCTCTTTCTTGGAGTTTCACTTGACCAGGTTCTTGTTTGGATGTGTAGCCTTTTCTTTAAAATCATAGTAACTAATTTGGTCGTGGTCTGTGGGTTCTTTACTTTTTGATTCCTATCTCCTTTAAGATTTATGCAACTCTTTTATATCTGTTTCCCTCAGAGAATGAAAAGAACATTGTGGAACGCAATGTGTCCACCTCAGGTGTCAGTATTTACTTTGAAGCCTACCTGTATGATGCTCCTAGTTATACCAACACTCAGTGGCAACTTCCACCAACGCATCTAAGCTCCTCCCAGCGCCGTCCTTCTACTGCAACTGAGGATGAAGATGAAGATTCTCCCTCTGACAGCCAAACCCCTGAGAAAGTGAAGAAACCTAAAAAAGTGTACTGCTATGTGTCACCTAAGGTAGATATCACAAAGTTACCACTCTTGAGTGCATGTTTAAATTACACTGCAACTGAAGAGCTTCCTGTGCCCTATATCTTAGCTCTAGATTTAGGTGCCTCAGATTTGGTTAAAAAAGGTTTGCCTAAGGCTAGACAGCTAATGTGGAGCTCATTGCTGAGAATAATGTTAAAATGCTCCTTGAAGTTTTAGGACTTCATGTGTCTTTCTGGATCTGATGCAAAGCCTACTGGGAATTTCCTCAGTGATTGTTCAGTAGATATCCTGTTTGCCTTTCCTTTGCTTTGGTTGGGTCAGACCTGCAATTCCCTTTCTCAGTTTCCGATACCTGAAGATCGGAACTTAGAGGAAGACAGTTCTCAGATTTTATGTGTCTGTCTTGTTTCTTGAATGTTTCAGGGAAAAGAAAAGGAAAAAAAAATGGTCAGAGGACAAAGGGTAAATGTATAAGTAGAAGAAACAGGATTCAAGCAAGTCAAGGGAAACTGACGATTCTCTTATAGTAAGAATATGTTAACAGAAACTATTACCCCTTATTATTGCATTCAGGGAAACTAGAAAGAAAATTCCACTAAATCTACTAATAAATTTAAATTCACTTTGACAATATCCACCCAAGGGTGTTAAGAGAGCTGGCTGATGTTGTTGTGAGGCTGCTCTCCATAATCTTTGAGAAGTCATGGAGATCGGGGACATCTCAGAAGACTGGTAGAAGGCTAATGTCACCCTCATCTACAAGATGGGCTTAAAGGAGGATCCAGGAAATTATAGGCCCATCAGTCTTACTTCAGTCCCTGGGAAAGTTATGGAACGAATCCTCCTGGGGGTTATCACAAGTCAAGTGAAGCATGTGATTGGGAAAAGCTAGCATGGATTTGTCAAGGGCAAATCGTGCTTGACAAACCTGATTGCCTTCTATAACAAAGTAACCTGCTCAGTTGATCTGGGGCGAGTGGTGGATATTGTCTACTTGGATTTCTCCAAAGCTTTTGATATGGTTTCCTGCAGCCTCCTCAGAGAGAAACTGATGTCTTACGGTCTAGACAAGTAGCCCGTGTGATGGGTGGGGAACTGGCTGACAGGCCGCACCCGGAGGGTGGTGGTAAATAGCTCCTTTTCAAACTGATAACCTGTCACAAGTGGGGTCCCCCAGGGATCAATATTGGGCTCAATGCTGTTTAATATCTTCATAAGTGATCTGGGTGATGGGATCAAGTGTACCCTGATGATGATGATGATACCAAACTGAGTGGGAAAGTGGACACTCCGGAAGGGAGAGCCACCCTGCAGGAAGACCTGGATAGGCTGGAAGAGTGGGCTAGCAAGAACCTTATGAAGTTCAACAAGGACAAGTGTAAGGTCTTGCACCTGGAAGACATAATCCAGAAGTGCAGCACATGCTGGGATCTACCCAGCTGGGGAGCAGCTCTGTGGAAAGGGACCTGGTGGTCCTGGTGGACAACAAGCTCAATATGAGTGAACAGTGTGCTGCTGTGGCAAAGAAAGCCAACAGGATGCTGGGTTGCATCAACAAGGGCATCACCAGCAGAGATAAAGAAGTCATTATCACACTCTGCTCAGCACTTGTCAGGCCACACCTGGAATACTGTGTTCAGTTTTGGTCCCCACTATACAAAAAAGGTGTGGACAGGCTGAAGAGGGTCCAGAGAAGGGCCACAAAGATGATCAAAGGACTGGGAAGCCTGCCATATAAGGAAAGGCTGAGAGAACTGCGTTTGTTCAGCCTTGAAAAAAGAAGGCTTAGGGGAGACCTTATCACCCTGTTCCAGTATTTAAAGAGTGGCTACAAAGAAGATGGACACTCTCTTTTTAGACAGAGACACATGGAGAAGACAAGGGATAATGGGTACAAGTTACTTCTGGGGAGATTCCGTTTGGACACAAGATGAAAATTTTTCACAATGAGAACAATCGCCCATTGGAATAATTTCCCCAGGAAAGTGGTGGATTCCCCAACATTGGACACTTTTAAGATTCGACTGGACAGGGTGCTGGGCCATTTTGTCTGGACCATGCTTTTGCCAAGAAAGGTTGGACCAGATGATCCTTGAGGTCCCTTCCAACCTGGTATTCTATGATTGATTAATCTATCAATCTGAATGCATTCTGAAAAATGCAGTGATAAATATCAAAGTGAAGACTAATCCAGGAATTGCTTTCCTGACAAAGAGAGAAAGAGGGCTGTGAAACAGGTCTAGGATGGAGGGTGTTGCTAGAGATCTCTAAATCTCTGCTTCATGTGGCTCTAAGAAATGACTATGGGAATGAGTGCTGGGTCCTTGTGAGCTCAGCATCCTTTCATCCTTGGTGTATTGTTCTGGACTTCTGTACTCTATTGCATTACCTGGTAAAGGAGATCACCAGAAGCGGGTATTGTTGCAGGTTCTCTTTAGGTGCCAAAGTTATTAATGTGATTCTGATGCTTGCGTAATTGTATCCCTGGATATCTCTATATATACCTAGAGCATCTGTCCTGTACAGTAGATAACTGTTACTTCTTTAAGGGGTTGCTGTTCATATTTGCTTTGTTTCTGGAGAAATGCTGCTCATCGTTTTTTCCAGTCATTGCAGCTAGAACAGGCTTGTGCAGGAAATGGTTTTGTGTTTTATCTGAAGATGCTAAAGTTTCATCTTAGCTTGCTTTCCAGAAGGCGACAGTTCCACAGTTAGTAGTTATTTGTTCTGGCAGAAATACACTGAGAAGAAATGTCTGTAAATCTCCTGGATTTAGCAATAGCAAGTGCTTTTTAAAAGTTGTTTGAAATGGCTGTGAAAATTAGGGAGTAGTAGCAGTAATTCCATTAGGCAGTGTGACTTTTTCCAAAACCTTTTTGTCAATGCATTACAATCTTGTCCTGAATTCAGCCTCTCAAGTGTACTTAAGATTACCTTCCAATTAGACTGGTAATGTTCTACTGAACACAATGGCTTACTGCTCTAAAATCTCTGTCATGCTGGCATCCCGCATATGTTGTAAATACACGCAGTAAAGTCTTACTGACAAGCTGCTTACAGTTCTGTACAGCTTTAAAGGTTTCTATGTATTGTGCCAGAGGAAGATGTCACCAAATGTTGCAGAAACCTGTCCCTGGGGTTGGAGGGAGGTCTGGCCTTATGGATCTGTCTTGTGCCTTGTGTTTCAGGGATAACCCTCAACAGATGTTGACCTTTAACATTTTCTTTTCCTTGTGGTTACTCAGCAATTCTCAGTGAAAGAATTCTACCTGAAGATCATTCCATGGCGCCTTTTTACCTTTAGAGTATGTCCTGGCACAAAGGTGAGCCTCTTTCCATGTAGCTGTCACTGCGCCTCCATTTAATTAGCTTGTGGTCCTTGTAAATGACAGTCTGATTTTTGCTTTTGGAGAGAAGGGCTGCCACCCACAGAGCAACATTTTGTTGTGTAAAATTCAGACTTTGGAATTCCCTCTCAGTGCCTAAATTTTGCTAGTATTTATGGAATAGGAGCCAGTTGTATCACTCCTTCCTGCCTTTTGTCCTAATCCTAGGCAAAAATCTTGATTTCTTTTGCATTTCTTGTGTTTATTTTCCTCATAACCTTGCTAAAATGCTGTGATTGTGTCCACTGAAGCACCTAGGCTAGGGAGTGAGGTTTGAAGCAGCCTCCTAACTGGAGTCCAGGTTCTTGAAATAGTGTTACTGTTAACTGTGTCTGCATGGGTGAGCAGAGAAAGCCTTAGAGTGCAAGTGGTGTTGCTCTGTCTACTGAACATGCTGTGCCTTCTGCATGATGGGTTTACCCTTTCTTGCATCTTTTTACTGCTAGTTTTCATACCTTGGTCCTGACCCTGTGCACAAATTACTGACACTGGTGGTGGATGATGGGATCCAACCCCCTGTGGAGCTCAGCTGCAAGGAGAGGAACATATTGGCAGCCACTTTCATTCGCTCTCTGCATAAAAACATAGGTAAAGGGGTGGTGAGGTGGGTACAGTAGTCAGGAAGTTAGCACTTGAGTCTGCTAGTTTCCCTTGGGAATGACGATTGTCAGCACTGAATGACCTCTGATGAGGAGTCTTGACTCCTGCAGTGTCATGTTCTGTTCCTTGTTGGTGCTTCCAATGAATGTATTTCATCATGCCAGCTGTTTCTTTTCAGTTTGGCTTTTCTGTCAGGCTCTTTGAAAGTGAGTGTTTGAATGTCAGCAAGACTAACTGCAAACTGCCTTTAGAGTTCTGTTTCCAAACTTGGCTGTAAAAACACTCATCCTTGGGCTGTAAAGCTGACCTGTGCATTTAGTCTTAGGAATGCCTTCTAGACGTTTGAGGTGTTGACAGCTCAGGCCTGACTGAAACTGTCACTATTCTCAGGAGGCTCGGAGACCTTCCAGGACAAAGTAAACTTCTTTCATCGAGAGCTGCGTCAGGTGCATATGAAAAGACCTCATTCGAAGGTCACGCTGAAGGTCAGCCGTCACTGTCTGCTGGAGTCGGTGAGTGTACAGGTCACTTTGCTTAAGTCCGATGCTTCCTCCATCCTTTTTCTTCTGCACAGTGCCTAAAGAAATCCAAACTGGCATGTGCTAGGGCAACCATGCTAAAAATGATTAGTCCTGTTTCAAGGCAGATGCCAGTAGGCAGCTTGAGATGGGAAAAAGAAACAAAAAAGAAAATCTCAAGGTAGCTCCTCTGTGTTTAGGTTTGGTATTGTGTGGGATGCTGTGTTCCTTCTCTAGAGCCAGTAAGATCAGATCAATTTCTTAAGTAATTAGGAAACTTAATCTCTGATAAATTTTTAAGGAACTCATTGCAGAGTAAATCAAGCTATGAGAGATATTGAGGGTAAATGCAGGCATAGCCTGTAAAAGCAGGAAATCTGCTGGTGCTGTTCTGTCCCCACTTTACATTGGAACCTGAGGCCCAGAGAGAGACTCTCTACCTGGACCACATTTGGGAGCAGAACCTAGAGCTCCTGAGTCTTTACCTACTGTTTTTCTGGTACAGAGCCATTCGGTGAGATAAACTGTCAAGTCAGGTGTTACTGAGCTGCATGCATGAAACTGTTGCATTGACAGGCTTCTAGTAGTGGTTCAGTGTGATGATAAAATATTCTGTAGAGTCCTTGAGTTAAGTCTTCACCAGTGCTGACCTGAGCTGATGTGTTTCTGAAATCAAACTTAAGTAAGTTATCATTCATATAATACAGTTCTTAACTGATGTTCTAAACATTGTGTATGCAGGGCAAGCAGTTATTCTGACTTATTGTTTCCACATGTGTCTCACAACAGTAATGTTCTAAAGATGGAAAAGAACATTTCTGGGAAAAGCAGGAGGGGCTGGGATTTCCCTTGATTTACTCTGTAAATCTGTGTTTTGGAATATTTTCTGCACGTATGAGCTTGCAGTGTTTACAAGATTATGTTTCAGTTAATAGCTTGCTACAAAATTACTTCACTTCTAAACTGTATTTCCATGACTATTTTTTCCCACTATTTTGGAAGTTCCTGCACTGTCATGAGCACTGGTGTTACAGCCTAGTAAAACAAAATAAACTAAGTGCCATAATAATAATAAATGTAAGCTTTACGGTCCAAGGTTGACAAGCACAATGAATGTGACCAATGTCTTTAGTCCAGAGGTGTGACTAGTGTGATGCTCTAACCTATTTGAAGATAAGCTAAGCCAAAGCTACCTGTATGACTGAGGACTGCTGTGTAGCTTTTTTAAATTTTCTTTAATTGGAATCCAGAATCGGGATGCAGGAAGTTCTAGACACTTGAAATATTTTGTTCCTTTTTTGCATCGTGATTTGCTTTAAATATGAACTCAGTGAAACCTTCAAGCTATTTTCTAATGCTCTCTGAAATGTTCCTTTTTTAAATCCAACTCGTGGGCTGACAGTGCTTTATAGAAATTGCTCCTTCCCACAGGCATTTTAATACTTTAAACAATACTGTTCTGCAGCCTTGAGAGGGATACATCTGTGCTGTTCTAAGACCTCATACTGGTTTTAAGATGAGCTGTGTTTATGTGGATAATGTGTCTCATAATAGAAAATGAGGAATTGGCTTCTGTGGCTTTGGACAAATAAGAATTAGACCTTAGTAGTTCCTAATTCTCAGTTTTATGTTTTAGAGTACTAGACTGTTTCTTGGTTTTTGTGTTGCTTAAATTGCCCATCCACATGTGCAGGACTGCATATTGGTTACGGGATGCCAAGCAGTAATGGCTGCAGCTATTTTCTTTCCCTTTTTTTTTTTTTTTTTCAGTCTTTTAAAGCAACACGAAATTTTTCTGTTTCTGACTGGAGCAAAAACTTTGAAGTGATTTTTCAGGACGAAGAAGGTGAGTTATCCTGTGAATATGTTTGAGGAGGAAGTGAAAGGAATGATGATGGAATAGTTTTAGTCTGAAATTCTGGTTTCTTGTATGTCTATCCTTTGTGGCTTTCCAGCCTTCTGCTTTCTCACAGATGTTAGTGAATTATGCTGCTGGTGCTGTTCTATCCCTGCTTTACATAGGGACCTGAGGCCCAAATAAAAAAAATATCAGGACTAGGTTTGGGAGCAGAACCTAGAGTTCTGGAGTCCCTGTCTACTGCTTTTTTTTTCTATGGAGCTGTTCACTGCGATGAGTTCTCATGTCAGGTAATACTGAGCAGCATGCATGAAATTCTTGAATTGATGACCCATGGATGACTAAGCTTGTTTTATCTTGTAGCTCTGGACTGGGGTGGTCCACGCAGAGAGTGGTTTGAGCTCATCTGTAAGGCATTATTTGATACCACCAATCAACTCTTTACCCGCTTTAGTGATAACAACCAGGCCTTGGTGAGTCTGCAGTTCCCGTGCTGAATGCACAGAACTGTGTGCATTGACATGCTGCTGGTTAAATAACGCTGCTGCTAAATTCATTGTGGTGTGCTACCTTACCCATTCTTTAGCTTGCCTGCACAGTCACTTCCAGTGCCTTTCTCAAAGCTTTGCTTAATGATCTTAACCCACTGAAGTGTCAAAGAACTGGCTGGATGAACAGCAGAGGGTGGCCAGTCAGCAGGGAAAGCTGGATTTCTGGGCAAGAGGAGGTGGCATCAGGGTGTCTGTTGGGTCTGAATGTTTCAGAATCCATTTCTGCTCTCGTACAGCTTCTGGCCTGTGCATGTGAAACATTTTGTATTCTTCCTAGGCAGGCTCAGGCATTTTATTTCTATTGCTTGGCTTTGACAATATTACAGTAAGGCTCCTGGGGCAGCCTGAGAGATGCAGTGACTTGAACTGGTCCCATACTTGCTATTTGTCCTAGTCTTGTCTGGTTCTTGGATGTTTCATTTTGCTTCCTCTTCACAGGTGCATCCAAATCCAGGGCGTCCCACATATTTACGACTCAAAGTGTATGAATTTGCAGGCCGCCTAGTAGGAAAGTGTCTTTATGAATCATCTCTGGGAGGTGCTTACAAACAACTGGTTCGAGCTCGCTTCACCCGATCCTTCCTGGCTCAGATCATAGGACTTCGTATGCATTACAAGGTAAAGTTTCCCAGACTTGTCTGAAGCCTCTATTGGTCTGTAGAGAGGTTGAATATTGGCGTAGTAGAAGCAGATCCACAGTCGTGGTTAACAATGTGTTGTTTTTTTTTTTTTTTCCCCTTCCCTCTGTGTCCCTGCCTTCTTTTTCTTTCACACAGTATTTTGAGACAGATGACCCAGAATTCTATAAATCCAAAGTTTGTTTCATACTGAACAATGATGTGAGTGAGATGGATCTGGTCTTTGCTGAAGAGAAGTATAGCAAAACAGGACAACTGGAGAAGGTAAAGGAGGCGGTTCCTGAAGGTGGGAGAGTTTAACCCCTTCTGCCTGTAGCGGGGGAGGCTGAGAACTCTGCTATGTGCCCCAGAAAATTGAGCTTACTCTGGGCAGTAGATCCTTGCTTGGGTTTAGTCTGGTTGGGAGTTCAGGTTTGGGGAATGCTGCTGGTCACACTCATGTCAAGTGTTCTCCTGTTTTCAGGTGGTGGAACTGGTGACAGGAGGGGCTCAAGTACCAGTGACCAATGAAAACAAAATCTTGTATCTAAATCTGCTTGCGCAGTACAGATTGGCCAATCAGGTTAGGGAGGAGGTGGATCACTTCCTGAAAGGTAACATGCTGTCTGCTCACCACTCCTTTCTGCCTTTATATCCCAGGCGATAGCACTTGCTGCTCATCTCTCCTCTTCTCTTCCAGGTCTTAATGAGTTAGTTCCTGAGAACCTCCTGGCTATTTTTGATGAGAATGAGCTTGAGGTAACTGCTACCTCCCTAAGTATCTCTATCCTTACTTCCCCTCCTCTCTGACAAATGAATTGCTTTCTGGATCTGGAATAAAGCCAAAATGTTTCTTCTCTAAGCATTTTAAACATTTGTAATTTGCACAGTAGCTGTTGCCTTGTTTCCTGGGCTCCTGACTTTGACTGCAGTCTCTTGCCTTTCAGTTGCTTATGTGCGGTACTGGAGATATCAGTGTTTGTGACTTCAAGGCACATGCTGTAGTGGTAGGAGGATCTTGGCACTTCCGTGAGAAGGTAAATGAAAGGGCTTCTCCCTCCTGCTTGCTGAAACCAGTTATCCCACCTATAGCAGAAGACAACTTAAACTGGGAACAGATTTCTTGGTTGGAAATTAGGCTTCCAGAAGGACAAACTGGAAGATTCAGGAGTCAGGAGTAGGACTGCATGCATTATGAAATAATGTTTTGCCCTAGAGATATCCTTCAGCATGGCTGACTAGAGATGATGCATAATCAGTTACCAGCAGGAAGAAATCAGCAGCAGTGGTCTTGTTAAGAAAATGCAACAAAGCACTAATTAAGAACAGTTCAGCAGGGAATCAGGAGGATTTGGTGGAAATCATTGCTACTGAAGACGTTCGTGGTGCTATACTTATTTCTAAGGGATGCTTGAAGATCATGATTGCAGCCCATGTGGAGTGTTTGGAATTCAGTGCTGTGGTAAAGACTACTGATGTAGTAGCCTAAATTTGTACCCTGTAACTGTTCCCATCCCTCCCTGCCTTTCCCAGCGGGAGGGGTATGGGAATGGTAGCAGCTTCATTTAGAAAAACAAAGGAAGCTGCCAAAACACCCAAGATGAAGAGAGATTAGGAGTACAAACTTCTAGCTGTAAATACTGGGATGGTTCCACCTTCCTGCAAAAGTACCAGAGGATGTGAAAAAGCAAAAGATTAGCATAGTGCAAGAAGCAAATGAGCTTCTGCAGTGTAAACCTACCTCATTGTCTATGCAGGTATTTCTGAAAAGAAAATCTCTGTGGGGAGAGCAGAAGCCTTTCTGCTTTAAGGAAAAGGACAGGTGGGAGGTAGTAGTGTGGGACATCTTTTAACTGGTAAGAAGAAACTATGTAATACTTGCCTTTACGTGTCACCCTGGTAAAACAAAAAAAAAAATCTGACTATTAGTAGAGCACTTGCTTGCAAGGCAATTGACTGATCTTGCAACTTGCTTATATGCTTATTTGATTTGATTGGCTGACCTGGCTTTACCTTTCCTGTTTCCTAACAGGTCATGAGGTGGTTTTGGACCGTGGTCTCCAGTTTCACACAGGAGGAGCTGGCCAGGCTCTTGCAGTTCACAACTGGTTCCTCCCAGCTGCCCCCAGGAGGGTTTGCTGCGCTCTGTCCATCCTTCCAGATCATTGCGGCTCCAACTCACAGTACTTTGCCAACAGCCCACACTTGGCAAGTATCCTGGGGTGGTAGGACTTTCTGCATTGTGCTTTTGAGAATGACACCAGTTAGTCACGGTGGGCAAGCAGTATATAATGTGTAATGTGTGTGATGCTCATGTCAACCCATCTAAAAGCAGATGATAGGGATGGTCCCCTCTCAGATCTAGTCTGAATGGAATTTTTCTTTTGTTTTACAGTTTTAACCAGCTGTGCCTCCCTACTTATGACTCCTATGAAGAAGTGCACAAGATGTTACAGCTAGCTATCAGCGAGGGTTGCGAGGGCTTTGGCATGCTGTGATTTCCCCTTTCCAGGAGACCACTTAGCCTCCTGGCTCTTCGTGGTGAGACCCAGGTTCAATCCTCTGCTTGTTCGCCTTTCCTTCACATAGGCAATGGAGGCAGAGCAAAGACTCCATGTAAAGGAATTTGTCATCCAGAAGATGTCACGTGGCCTTTCCGTATCCCAAATATGTCATCAAGAGCTCATCTTTTTCCCTTACCCTCATTCTCCCTTTGGCTCAATGTGAAACAACAAAAGGACTGTGGTGCATTCATCAAGGAGATATTGCACTTGATTTCCCTGCACGCTCTACACCCATCCTGTAAGAAGATGAAGTTCATGAACAGAAGTTACAGTGAGGTGCAGGAGATCTGCTGAGCTGCCTTTATTGTAGCTCTCTGGGAGGAAGAGGGAAGACCAGCATGAAGCTCTGCTGGACGCCTGGCTCACGGGAAGCCTTAGTAACTTTCCATGTCTTGGCTCAACTCCCCCAGTGATGCTCCCCAATAGCTCATCTAACTCTGTGACTCATGAAGAGTATAGGGTTGTCCATCCTTTCAGCACCTGACCCAGAAGGGTTTGTGATTCTCTTCCTCCATCTTGCTCTGGATGCTGCTGTCACCTGTGCCACAGAGAAAAAATGGGCAGTATCCACTGGAGGGAGTAACCCAGTGGGGAGAACAATCTCATCGGAGCACAACTGCTGGCCCTGACAGTGATCCTGTACTACCTCCGCCAGGGTCCAGCAGCAGAAGCGTCCTTCTCCAGCAGTGGCTGGTAATGAGCCTCTGCAAATGAACTGGAAGAGGAGTTTCTCCTCCATTGAATGTTTCTGACAGTTGATGTTGCACAGGAAGCTGTCCCATGCCCTTGCCTTCTTTTCCCTTCCTCAGGAGAGAGAGTATGGGCATGAGTGTGGTCCCTCAATGCTGAGCACCAATGCCTATCCCACATTCACCTTCAGGGTATGTATGTTATGTAGTAACAGTGACAGGTCAGTAAGCAGCTACAGTGAGCACTGGGCTTGCATTTGTTGTTGGGGTGATGGTACTGGGTAGAATGTGGTACCTCCACCCCGTTATCCCACAGGGTCTTGGTTTCTACCTCTATCATGCAGCAGCCTGAGGCTTTTCTTTCTCTACTGCATTTCAGGCAGGGTTTCCAGAGGGGTGCTGGTTCCTGGAGAGCAGCTGGCTTTCAGTCCTCTCAATCTTCCTACCGTCTTTCTTCAGCTCTCCTTTCCTCCTGTTTCATTCAGTGCTGCTGGCTTTCCAGCACAAAATGTTAACTAGAACTTCACTCAAGTGATCACTCAACAGCCTGTACTCACCATTGTCTGGCTTGTGGGGAGAGGAGTGGGCAGACCAGCATGAGAAGTAAGCTTATGATTGGGGTGTGTTGTTGCTGGCAGTCCATTCCTTCCTTCCCAGGGAAGTAAAGGGAAGGGGAATCTGGGAATCTTGATGAGTTCTTCAGTGAAGCAAAGTTCAAGATCTTTAAGTTCTCAACAGTCCCTTAGTTCAGGTCAGGAGTTAAAGTCATGCAGGAGTCAGTGCGAGAAATCTGCATTGCTACTGCCTGCGATGTAAGCTTCTACGGGATTATGGAATTGCTGGATTTCTTCCAGAATGGAGTCTCAGACTGGCATCCCTGAGCTAATTTTAGAACACCGTATTAGATGAAAAGTCGCATCATCCTCTTCAGCCCCCTTCTGCTGTCTTCAAGCTGATCCTGACAGACCTGCACAGTATGGGTATTTTAAGATAACTGTGTGTGCTTTTCCAGTATAGCTTAGTTGAACTGACTGGGAATTTGGGGGAAACATTCTATATCTAGAAAATGTTTTTAAGACAGCATCTTAGCCATTCTCAGGCTGAGTGTGTTACTTCTGTACAGAAAAAAATAAGCCATTTTGGTGCCAAAAAGCAGCCAGCTGAGCATTGAGACTACTCAGGGGGATTTCTTTGCCTTGTGAATTCATTCCCTCACTGGCACCAAGGTGCTAGGAGGCTGCCAGCTTGAGAGTTGCCACTGTTGTGCTCTGACAGATCATTTTAGTAGTGGCTGTTCTCCCTTTTTTTAGCGCAGGCTCCATTCTGCAAGGTCCTGACCTCCTTTGGGTGGAGAGTATGGTACTGTTTTATTTACACTGGAGGTGGCTTCCATGGTCAGTAGGGTTACAGCTCCTGTGTTCTCCATGCCACTGCTTCACTGCTTTCTCCAGGGACTGAGAGGTGGCAGTGCTCGGCTTAACTCCTGTTTGTTGGGAGGTGTAGCTTGGTGCTGTTCCCACGTTGCAGCCTTGTCTTGCAGTCTCACCTGGTGAGGATGTTTCCAGCCTTGTAGCTATGGGCCAACTCTGCCAGTGACATCTTCCTCAGGAATCTTCTCCCTTCTTCTCTTGAGCTGGGCTTTTTTATTCTGAGGACAAAGTCGTTGGTCATTGGGCAGCTCTTCCTCTGCTGGAAAGAGCTCCTAAATGCTTCTCATTGCATTGCACCCAGCACCTCATGCATCCCTGCAGCTGTGCAGATGCCAAGGACTTTCTTCTTAACGCAAGTGCAGTCAGAACTGTGATGGGTGCTCTTAGTCAACTAAACCCATCCCCATTGTTTCCACAGGCTCCTAGCTGGTCCCAAGTTTCTGAGATCCATCACAATGTTTCTAAACTTGTCTCTAGCTTTATACCCTTTCTCAGTGCAGTCACTTTTTATGCTGCCCTTAACACTGGCAATGGGGATGTGCTTTGGTCGCCTATACTGTATGTTATTTCTGGCAGAGGCTCGTTACTTTTCTTTTTACCCTTTATTTATTCCCACTTAATAGAGGCCCTTCTGTAGAAATCTTTAGGACAGGTTCCATGTTTCCTGAAGCTGCTTTGAGGTGCAGAGGGCCTGGCTTCAGCCTGCACCTGCAGGCCATGTTGCATATTTTTAGAAACCAGGAGCTGTGGATGATACAGGTCAAATTCTAGTTCCCTCTGATGAGTTTCTGGCAGAGTTCAGCCAGAATTTGGAAGCCTGTGGTTGTAGTAGCTGATTTTGTAAATAGTTTGTATAATAAATAAAATATTTTAAAAATGCTGCCTTCTCAGCTCAGTGTTCTTTCGGGTCTATACAGAGGGAATCAAACTGGTTGGTGCTGTCTATGGATGAGGGCTGTCTCCAGGTCTTCGGGTGTCTTGCTGAGGTCTGCTGCAGGGGGGAGAGGACGGTTCTCCACCTGCAGCCTTTCGGGATACCTGGCTGAACCAGGACCTGTGAGCTTCTGGGAGGAGGCAGGACTCTGGACTGGGGCTCACAGGCTACTGTAAGGTCTCTCTGCAGTAGGCTGGAAAATGGGCTAAAGTAGCTGGTAATGCCAGAAAGTATTTTAAGAACTCTTTTATGGAAATCAGTAGTGCAATTGGTGCAATTACTTTTTCATGTTGCTGTGTATTACCTGACGCTTTGAGATGCAGGTATTTGTACTGCTTGTGCTTCACTGTACTGTCAAGAGGGTTAGATGAAGCCAGAAGAGGGGGTATTTGAGTCCCTTGCACCTCTAAGTTGTACAAAATGGTTTCAGACTCCAGGGTGGAAGCAATGTACCTGCAAAGTGTCTGCTAACAAACAACAGAGTAATTATAAGTTGACAGCTTGTTGCCTTCAGGGGCAATATCCAATTTCTGTGATTCTCTTGAGCTTGAGCTGTTCCCCAGCTCTCACAAAAAGCATTCAATTTATCACTGTTTTTCCTTGGACTTTTTTTTTTTTTTTTTTTTTTTGTGGAGTATAAAAATAACTTTAAAATCTTTTTTTTTTTTTTTTTTTTAGCTTGAGGATTAAAATCATAACTTTAAAACTTGAGAAGATTTTGCAACATGATTCTGTGTCCATTAGCATCGCTGCCTGTAAAACGACGAAAACCGTGTTTCCTGAGCTGTACAAAGATTTAGCCCATCTTCAGCCAGCATAGCATTGGCTAGCTGCATGTGTTCCATGATATAACTAGGCAGATGTTCTCATATTATGAAACCAGCATCTAGCCTTCATTCTGGCTTTCAAGCCATGAGCACTAGCTAAAGAAGAGAGTAAGCAGTGTATGTGAGTCTTGGCAATTGCCTCTGTAGCATTGTGCTGGGTCATATTTAGAAGCTCCTTGTGGGAACACAGTTGTCTTGTGCTGGACTCAGAGAAGACAGAGGTTAGATAAAGCAGTGGTGAGCATTATGAAGAATCCCGAAACTGAAGTTCCAGTGTCCCCTGGAAATCGCAGGGGTTGTGAGTCTAGAGCTGCTGGAGTTGGGGTCAGGGCGCTAAAAGGTGGGTGACTTTGCAAACCTGGCATGAGCAAAATGATACACAGCAAACCATGTGGACATGTCTTTACATGCCATGACCGGTATTACTCATGGGAAGGGGGCCAAGTTGAGGCTGGAGTTTTCAGAAACACTATCGTGTTTGGGTGTGAAGGAGAGAGCTCAGCTTGCTGGATAACTTTAGCATGAAGTAGGTTCTAAAGTTTCTGCCTCTCTTTGCAGGATGCATGATATCATCTGGCTGCCCACATTGTCTGTCCTGATCACCAGTTTCTTGTGATGTCTTGAAGAGGGAGTGGTGACAGTGACCTGTTGCTGACTCAGCAGCCTCCATTTATCCTGGCATCTGGCATGGACTTGGGGCTGGGAGAAAAATCATGCCCAGGCACTTCATGCTGGAATCCTACATGCCCCAGCTTGTGTCTCCAGCAATAGCAAGGATTTGCCTGATGTCTTAGGATCCTTGATTCCATACACCGCCACTTGACCCGAGATGTGTCAGGATGTGCTGCTTGGGAAACTAGATTTTTGTGCATTCAGTTCCTCTGCTCAGCTTTCTGTTTGCCTCAATTGCAGAACTACAGAGAAAGAATTCCTTCAGATACCTGAAAGAGAAAATGGGGAAATGATGCTTGATTTGGATAAGATTTCTTCTTGCTTTCATAGTGTTATGGCTGAGTTGGTCAGTTGGACTGGGCTGTAACTCCTGGTTCCCATAGTGAATTACTATGTTTTGTATGGTTTTGGCTGTTCTGCCACCATGCTGTGTCTGACTGACCTGGCACATGACAGCAGAAAGAGTTTGAACATGTGATTATGGGAACTATAAAAGGAAAACACTTACGGGAAACAGCAAAGTCCACCAGAACCTCAGACTGTCTTGGCTTCAACCCTATGGTGCAGAATCTCAGATTTTAGAATCTTCCTCTTAAACTCTTTCCTTGTTTGTTTTTTTTATTGAATGCGTGAGAAACCCTAATCTCTGTTCTCCAGAGCATGAAACTTGACTGTAGGAGGGAGGTGTTACTGCATGAATGTGTTCATTTTTAGACATAATTTGCTATAACTTTTTTTGCAGTAAAACGAAACAGCTGCAGCTGAAGTTCACCCAAAATTCCCGATCAGTCTTTTCCAGCTACCCTTCTGCAGGGATGGCGTGCTACAAAGTGTGTTGAGGCGTGGGCAATTGCACACAGGGTTGGAGGTGGGGAGTG